TTGTTCAATGCCCTAAAAGGTTTTTAGGTGTTTACGTAACAGATCAGATATTTAGAAATTTATCTAAATCTGAGCACCTGCGCCGATTCCCATGTGACGACAGACTTTAGCCCCGATGATAAGGCGTGAATTTCCGGGAGAAGATCGGTATTTCCTTGAGTAAGCTGTTCGGTTACCTATATTTTACTAGAAAATTGGATTCTTTCAACTTTATTTTCAAATTTCAAATCACCACCTTCATGTAAAGATCGCGAATCTCATAAGCTGCAAACATAAATGCGAATGCGCGTGCAATTTGCGGAAACACCCGAAACTGTTGAGTTTGATACTCCAAAATTTGAACTTCCCCGGACCTATAGAAACACATTTCGAGATTAGTGCTATTGAGTAGTCTTTCGCGTTCTTACCCCTGCGCAATCTCTCCTTGTCTTCGGATAGCCGAATATCGTGTAGCTATACATGCAGCTGCTGCAAGTTGAGTAGCTTGATCTTTGATCATAATGGATCTGACAAATACCATAGTGCCATAGCCTAACTTCGAATGTTTTGGCGCTATAAATGTTCCATCTTTTTTGACCTAAAAAAATCAATTACTAATATAAATAATGATGGAGGAACAAAATTGGACCTTGGAGTGTCTCATCAACATATTCTTTCTAGGTATTCTGTAATTGTCAAACAGAAGAAATCCATTATCACTGGAATTAAAGCCGAATTTTGGTCCTATGTCACCGACACGAACTCCTAAAAGTAGGAACGAAGCGTGCACATAAATATTAAATTACATAAATAGATGAATAAATAATCAATTTTTTAAAATTTTGGTTCTATAGTCCGTCACCATTTTATGGTGTCAGAGCAATCGTTGTTGCGGTTCGAAGAATTGATATTCATTGTTTTCGCCTTCAGTTTATTTTATTGAGCTGGATATATTTTAACTAATTTTAAATTTATTCACGATACTGGCAGTTGTGCGCATTCTGACTAGTTGGAATTTTTAAAGAAATTTCTTACCATTTTGTTCGCAATGTTACCAAGATCAATAGTAAAATGTAATCTATTGAATAACATGTCATATACCTTTCATGGGTTTGTGCGTTTCCAGATCTCTTAGTTGAACTATAAATGGATGTGGACCACGACAAATTCCCTGTGTATAAAGTTGAGCTACAACAACAGCATAATTCGAAGATTTCCCTAACGCTCCAGGCCACCATCTGAAAATATATGTTTTTAGGGTAAGCCAAGGGTTACAAGTGATGGGAGAGTAACCATTGATTACTAACTTGGCCGAGGTGATCGTGGGTGAGTTGATGATGAACTCCTCGGTCTTTGGATCATAAGTGGCTGTTGTTTCCAAATTCTTTAGATTTGTTCCTGAAAGCTTCCGGATTGTTGTAAAAACCATTATTTAAAGCAAAACCTAACCGTGTCCAAGCTCTGTCTGGGCATATGTACCAATAATGCCTCTAGAGATAGCTAACGATAGCCACTCATCTATCTGCTCATCGTTTGATTGCCCTTGGATTGTCGGAATGAACATAACAAAGTGCAGTGAC